CAACAAAGACTTTTGGGCCTCTGTAGAAGGGCGTGTGATGGGATTGGTGTCAGTTGAGTGATTTGTGGCAATACCCCTGATGACACCGTGTACAATGTCACCGTCTCTACGAGCATCGCTCAAGCGCTTGAGAACCACAACAGCGACTGCTTCAGCCCGAGTGTAGCCGTCTGCTGCGGCATCGAAAGTCTTGCAGGCTGTATTTGAGGCACCCAGGAAGCCACCGCAACCAAGGCCGGCGTACATGCCTGTATCTGCAGCACCTGAGATGACACTGGCGCCGCCAGCAATTGCCATATCGCATTTGCCTCCTCGGAGAGACTGAATGGCGAGATCTAAAGCCATGGCGCTCGAAGAGCATGCAGTGTCAACAGACAGTGATGGGCCATCCCATCCAAAGAAGTGATTCAGACGCCCCGGACCGAATGCACGCATGCCTCCGGTCACATAATAGGGGTCATCCTGTGCCATGTTGTGTTCACGCCAGTCGTCTGTAGCTTGTCCGACAAAAGTACCCACGTGTTTTGTATGAATAGATGGATTGTATCCTGACATATCCAAGGCCTCCTGGGTCGTTAGTAGTAGAAGGCGCTGCGACGGGTCTGTCTGCAATGCAGCTCTACCGGACATATTGAAGAATTGCCTGTCGAAGTGGCCTGCTCTATCAATGAAACATCCAGTTGGCATTGCCGAACTGTATGTTCCAGAGAATCTTTCCTGTGGCATCTTGAAGTTTCGTCAGTATGCTGGACGAAGCAGTATTTGTTGCTTACATGTATACGTACTTGACTTGATGTGTCGTGGCCTTCGCAAAGAACTTGCCACAACTCGTCGACACTCTCAGCCCCGGGAAATCTGCCGGAGTAGCCCGTGACAGCAATCAGGTTGTGTTCATCATTGTCCTCGCAATCTTGTCGGCTCTGTTGATGACTGTCTTCCACTTTGTAATTTCGGTCCTCTATCTTGTGTCGGCGACGGTCGAGGCTAAGTCCAGAGATCGTTTGGACTTGGCGACCATTGGCTGTCAGACGATGATAAAATGCATTCCACTGAGCTGCCGGCCCAAAAGTGTAAAGTTTTGGGATAGAAGTATCTGGTTTCAAGAAATCTGTCAACGTCCCAATAACTGTTGATGGACGTGACGGACGCTGCAGGATGTCACGGATTGCCTGTCGCAATACGTCCCGCAATGAGCCGCATTGCAACACCTCGCCGGTGTTTGATGACAGAATTCTCACTCTGGGTGAAAGTGGCGCGTCCAAGAGAGGAGAACACCCCAGGATATCGTCGTAACTAGAATCAGGCGATGACGCGCTTAGCTACCGCTCTCCATACGCCCATTGAAGCTTGAAAGGTGTGCTCTTACGGTGGTTCTCTAAGATGTGATGCGTGGTACGCAGCAAAGATTGGCAAGTCTTTCTTTGTTACATGACCAAAGGCACTCGAACGGAGAAGACGCAAAGTCGAGGGTGGCCCAGAAATGACCGACCATTCATCCAGCTCGTAGCTCAGATATCCGCGCTTGTAAGCAGGTGTCTCCTGGGTGGACACGTCATCAATATTGGATGTCCCATCTAACGATTGTCGGCGCAAGAAAGATACAGATAACTTCAGACAGGCATGTAAATAGAGGAAAGAGAAAGATGTCTCACTGTATAATCTTTGCAATACTTCAGGGCATCCACGCAGTCCTGTTCTGACAGCTGAACTGCAACAGCCCATGACAAGCCCGGGCGATCCTCAATTTCTCGTGATCGTTGAGTGGCAAACTCAGTCAAACGCCGCACAATATTCAGTGTCTCTGAACTGAGTTGGACAAGGTGTCTCTCATCTTTGGCTGATGCAACAGCGCACGCCAGGATGAGTCCAACGCATTCGCCAACAAATACCCTTTGCTGGTTGTGACGAAGAATGCTCGGATCGATCTGACATTTCCTGCAGACATGTGAGAATAGACTCGTCTATCAGTGACAATGAACCGACTAGGAGTGTCTTCATCCTTCCGAATTTTGGTACCAACTCACAATATCACAGAGCCAAGCTGCGAGATGCAGGGAACAAGAGCAGATACTATGGGATCTGTTTGTAAACCCAGATCAGACGCAACCGTTTCCGCCCAATCAAGAACATGGATTAGTTCGTCCGTAGTGTCGTTCAGTCTGAGCTTTGAGTAGGCATGCAGAGAAGCTGATGATGGTGTGGCTCGTTTGCGCAGATGCCTCAGCGCCTGGACGTACGTGCTCGGTGCCAGGGATTGGTCTCCAAAGAAGAGAACGGAGGATGAGGTTGCGCACATAGCTGAATGAGCTCAGCAAACATGAGCTAGCCTGCATCAACTACGATAAAGGTGAGTAACTTGCAGCGACAGCAGGCTTTGGAATGGAGTGCTACAGGTGAGTCCCAGATTCCAGCTGTCTGCGCGTTTGACGAGTGCATTGGCTTTCTATGATGGAGCTCCCAAGACAGAAGATAGCACTTGAACGTCTGTCTGGTTGTATCCCACCGGGAGGGTGTCCCTATAATTCCAGCCTCCCCGCGACACATTCCTCTGTCACGATGACTGAGCGGAAATCGGGTCCGATGGTTCGTCCTACTCATATCCCCTTGCAAGCTGCTTACGGCCGGCCAGGTATCGTGGTCACTTTTGCACAAGTTCCTCGGTTTCGTATGGTCGCTTGTCGAAGGCAAAACTCAAAAGTTGGTCTTCGCGAGTACGCGCGAACAGCATTGATCGTCCCGCCAAAATGACTCGTCACAGCGGTCAACGAACTTTAATCCTGAGCTGACCGACCGGACTTTTCGGACATGGCGATATTTAAGAACCCCACCCAAGCTATAGATCACCCCCCACCTCAGATCAGCCTAAAAACGCATCTTCTGCATGCTTCACATCATATATTATCCTAGTTAATACTACTTTTTTAATACTATAATATATAAAATAAATTCTTTTAAAAATACTAATATATATCTTATACCCTTATATACCCCTACTAATATTACTATAGCGATTATAGCTATATATAATAGCTACCCTCTCTAAAAAGCTACTAAAAACTAAGGTATATTATATATAACCTTATAATAATATATTAATAGTAGTAAGATAATAGTAGAGGTAAAAGCTACTTAGTAACGCTTTAGTTTTAAATAAGAGGTTCTTCTAACTATTTAGATCCTTATATAGGGTATTTTAAGCTATATACTTAGCTATAAGTATATCTATCTCTTTATAATATAGATTATATATACTAATAGTAATATATATCCCTTTAGTATATATTAGATAAAAGCTTTCTTATACTACTACTTATTTATTAAAACTCTAAAGGTATATAAGATTAATATCTAATATATAAAGGATATTATAGTTAAAGATATAAAGGAGTTTTTTATAATACTTAATCTTCTAAAGGTTAAGATTATCCTTATAAGTTTATAATATAATATAGATAAAATAAGTATTATAGAGGGGGCTTAGTATAATAATTTAGTATTAAGATATTCTAAGAAACTTTTTATATTTATTTAAAGCTTTAATAACTATACTTAGATATTTATAGTTAAATATATTAGTATTAATAGTAGTTATCTCTCACTCTTAGTTATCTTTAAAGATAAGATAGTTTAATACTAATAATTCCCTAAAGATTTCTTAGAATTTAACTTATAGTATTTTATATTAATTATAAATAGTTAGATATCTAATAATATTAATATTAACTAATTAGAGAATATATTTATATTAAAGATAATAATAGAAGTAAAAAGACTATATTTTAAATATTTACTTATTATAAATAGCTATAGAAGCTATATTAGTAATAACTTTATATAGAAATATTATATTAATAATATTTATTTAGCTTACTTACCTATTTATTTATTTTATATTATATAGCTCCTTAATATATTAGTATTTATATTTCTAAAGTAGTCTTATAGGACCTATTTTATAAAATAAAACTACTTACTTAACTCTATATTAATTAGTAAGTAGAACTTCTTATAATACTATTTATATATATATTAGGATACTTTATAACTATATATTATTAAATTAAGATAGAAAGTAATAAAGATATAGTTTATTAATATTATAAAACCTCTTATAAGCTAGTTTATTTATACCTCTATTCTAACTAATATTCTATAAGTACTAATATAATATTTAAAACCTATAAATAATAAATAAACCTCTTAAAATATTATAATTAAAATACTAAAGAATTTAGCTAATTTATACTAAATATAATAGCTTTTTAGTAATAAGTTAAAGTTAATAATATAAAGAGATTATCCTATTAACCTTATAGTATAGATCCTCTTCTTTAAGAAGTTAGGGAAAATTTTAGACTTTAATAATATAGCTATAATAGATAACTAATAAGTTATTTAATTTCTAGAAGTTTAGCTAAAGAAGTATAAGCTTATTAAATATAATAAAGTTAAGCTAAAGCTAAATATATACTTTATAGTAATTAAAGATATTTAAAAGAAGAAATAAGAGGTATAAAACTATCCTACTAAGTTAGAAATAGTATTAATTAATAGTAAATCTTCTAATAATAAAAAGAGTATAAAATTATATATTATTATTATAAAACTATAGAGAAATTATATAGAACGTAAAAATATAATCACAGCGTTAGTAGGTTAAAAGTATGTAAAAGTGGTGATCTGAGGTGGGGGGTGATCTATAGCTTAGGTGGGGTTCTTACGACGACACCTAAGTCCTAAGGGTAACCAGCATCGCGTAAAACACCGCCAGTTTCTTCCACTTGCAAGGAAGACGGCGCAAAGCAAAACTCTATGGAAGACGCGAGGGGCAGACTCCACTTAGGAACTTGGCATAACCAAGCACGGGAGGAGACAATGGGATGATTTGTGTGTTAGGGTGAATTTCCAGAGTCCTATTAAAAAGGATGGGCATACGTCAGCCTTAGTGAGTGGCCCATGAGCTTTTTTGTCCAATCTGTCGTCAAATGATCTGAAAAAAAATGGTATTCAACACCAAGACTGAGTATTCGGAGGTGCATCAGAGCGAAGAGGGCTCGGATGGGGAAGGTAGCCCCAGGATGCCACCGCCATCCAATAGACTTACTCACTCTGGGTACCGCATGCTCATGGTATCTACTTTCCTGTGCTGCATTGTTTCGGTGGCGGTAGGCTTCTTTCTGGGCACATACGGCTTCTCTCTGGGTGTTCGACAGACAGCATGCGTTCCGGAGCCAAAGAAGGCTGATCCGGCCACCGGACTTGGCATGGCGACAATCGATGAGGCGCCTTTCATCACCGATGGTATGTTCGAAGTCTGTTGCTGGACATAGCATACCACTGACACCAAATTTGTAGTGCCCCTGGTCCGTAAGAAATTTGAACATGACTCTTCGTACAACTTCACAGCTCCGGGTGCCAACCAGAAATGGCTTGATCTCATCTCATGTGAGTCTCATTGCAAGCCGATCATCTTTTTGCGTTCCACCCTTGAGAGGCCAAGTTCATCTTCATAACAATCGCTGACCGCAAATTCGATAGTTGGCAAACCATTTGTTGCGCTGAACGACCCAGCCAAGTATGGATTGCCCGACTATTTCCATAAAGATGCACTTCAACCTGAAGGCTTGCAGCCTGTTGCTTGGAATGTCTTCCACCAGCTTCATTGTTTGGTACGAGATCTTGTTTGACGATTCGCGATGCCTTGCGGGTCTTTTACTAATAAGTCGGCGACCAGGTATGCATTCGCACAACGTATATGAAGCTGGCTTTGGACTTGGACGGCGGCTACGATGTCTGTACGCGCCAGCACATTGAACACTGCTTGGAGAGTCTTCGTCAAGTAAGAATAATTCATGTGATCGAAGTCTTGAGTGTAATGCTAATTAAGGGATCGCAGGCCACGATGTGCGCAGGAAATATGAACATGGAGCGATTTGAATTCATCCATTATCCTGGCCACGATGACTTCGTCCCTAAGCTGGTCGGTCAGCACGAAATGCACACATGTCGTGACTGGGAAGCAATCAAGGGCGTCATCAAAAGAGTGAGGGCTGAGAACATTCCCGTCGACAAGTATGGCAAGCGTGTTTCTCAACCTTAAGTTGTTGTTGCAAAAGTACGCAGCGCTGTGTTTGGGCAGTTATCATAGCTTGGCTGCAAACGCTCCTATCAGATATTACAGAGGGAGATAGATCGCTGTTAGAAATTTAGATTCCCGGCCGGCGGAGGAATGTGTGGGCATCGTGATGATTCAGCAACCCTGTATTCAACATTGAACTATACGTGAATTATGGCGTTTGCTGGCTCCAATATCCAGGAAAAGGTACGGGATGCAACGGGAACATCTTTTCGTTGACACAGCGCTTTTGCGACATTGCCATCTCCAATCTAGAGCCACATGTTGATGGCCTTGGGACATCTAGTGCGTTACTTGGTAAACCTTGTTCCCAAAGCAATGCTTTCTCCGTTTTCTAACAATCTCGCTGATCCTTACTCGTGGGCTGTCAGTTGAAGTTTGCTCAAGAAAACGGGATGAAATTGTACGCCGCCGGAGCTTGTCACAGATCCTTACACGGTTCAGGGACTTGCCTGTTCCCGTTGCCTTGAGGCTCGCCTCACAATGGTGAAATTTGCTAAGGTTTGGACAAGCAACGGTTCGGCCGGTGGGATGGGACGGACTCCACCAGAACCGAAATCTACGGTGAGCATCGTCATAGTCTGGGAAAGTCTCTTAGATTACCGGGACAGTCGGCAGAAACATTCATGTCGAGTCAGACCCGAGACCAATAGACCCCGGCTTGGCTGCTGCGCCCCGCGCTCCGACCTTCTGGCTCCGCGATATCCTCGCGTTCCCGCCGGAGTTCGGGCGGATGGGTCCTTGACAGACGACGCCAGTAAGCTCCATTGGGCTGAGACCGACACATTTTGGTACCGCTTCACACAGTATTATGGGCTGTTTTTTCATTGCCCGTGTTGAAGAGTACCCGTGAACAGTTCTTGACATACCTATTTTCCATTTGCGACACGTCTCTCAATTTCAAGATGTGGTCCCGGGCGAATTGGGTGTTCAGCATGATGCTCTTTTCTTGGGCACCACCGACACCTGATGCCATCAAAAAGGATGAGGAACGCGAAGCTGAATATGACGACGCGGAAGAACATCAGAAGGAGGATACCAGTAGTTTCAAGGGCATGCTTTCCGATTGGCAGAAGGCAGAACCCCTGGGACTGCAACTTTCACAATGTTGGCATGAAAGTTCAGGATATTCAGGAAAGGCTCAACTGAGAGGGCATCGACTTGCTCTTAGCCTTCTCCGATGTCTTCGCAGCGGACTGGTTCTAGGGGGTTTGATCGAGCTCGCAGCCATGTTGACGGCCGCAATACCGCCAATTATTCTACGCTGGCTTCTCGTGGCTTTAGCTGAACCAATAACGAATCCCGATCCCGCCACGTCGAGTAGTACACAAGACGCTCACAAACCACACATTATACGCACCTCGCACAGCTATACTCTGGTGGCCACTATGACAGCCACGCAAATGGCCGCCGGGATACTCATCAACGCCTCAAGATATAGGCTGGAAGGTGTTGGAGCCCAAGCTAAAGCTGCTCTCACATACATGATAATGAACAAGGCCTTCTTGGCCCCGCCATCCTCATCAGCCACCAATTTGGTTCGAAGTCCACATGATCGCAACAAGGATGGCCCAGAACAAACATGGAACTCTGGCACCGTTTTCAACCTCGCATCGGTGGAGGCCTCTCGTATAGAAGACTGTATCAGCGGCATCAACGCCATATGGACTGTGCCAGCTAGCTTTCTTCTCGCAATTCCTATGCTGGCCACCAATGTGGACGCATCGTCGCTAGGCGGCATGGTCGTATTGCTCCTGGGTCTACCTATCTTCACGCGCGTGTCCCTCCGTATCTGGGATGAACAGAAGGCCCTCAGTGGATTCTGTCGACATCGTGCTGCGTGTACTTTACAGGTTATTCAAGGCATTCGAGGCATCAAGCTTGCGGGATGGTCGTCTCAAATAATGGTTTTGAACAAGTTGTGTGGGATGAGAGTTGTTGAGTTGGTAACGGCAAGCCGTTTGTGGCACAACCGAGCCCTGCTAGAAGCGGCGTGTGCTTTGTTGCCAACTTTGGCCTCTATGGCAAGTCTCATTCTGTATGATACCCTCCATGAGGGTGTGCCAGATCCAGCGAAAGCTTTCTCATCCTTTGCTCTCTTCTTGGCCCTCAAGCCTCACGTCAACCGAGCGGCACAGGCAGCAGTCCAGTTGCAAGATCTCCTTGTCGGATGCCGCGCGATCGAGATGTGGTTGGAGACGGAAGAACCGCACGAAATGAGAACAACCTCTGCGGAGTGGGCGGTTGATGTTGCCCAAAACACTGTTCTCAGTTGGCCAGCCAGATCGTCGACTGACGACTTCCACCTCTCTTTCAACACCAAGTTTCAGATTATGAACGGGGAGCTTGTAGCTGTTTGCGGCCGCCCTGGGTCTGGCAAGTCCTCTCTGATGCACGCTATTGCAAGCCAGATGTGTCTCGAAACAGGAAGCTTTGAGCTGGGTATCGGCTCAAAAGCGGCTTTGGCTAGCCAGACGCCATGGATCAGACAAGGCACAATTCGGAGCAACATCATTTTCGATCAGAAGTTTGATGATGCCAGATATTGGAAGGTCATCAACGCTTGTGCTCTTATCGCCGATCTCGAGCGCATGCCCCGACGAGATCTCACCGTTGTTGGAGCAGGTGGCCAAGGTCTCTCAAGTGGACAGGCACAGCGCGTGAATATCGCCCGAGCGATGTACTCGAATGCGGATATTGTCCTTGTTGACGATTGCCTTCGAAACCTTGACCCTTCAACTAGCAAGACGGTATTTGAATATGGTCTCTGTGGCCTAGCAAAAGATCGCACACGATTTGTCGCGACGAACCAGGCTTGGGTGGCCCGCCAATGTGACCGGATACTGTGGCTCGAAGATGGAAAGGCTACCTGGCTCACTTCTTCAGGCAAACTTGATGACTATTTCCCATCCCTCATGGGAGAAGAACCTATGGAAAACTCCTCGACCCAACAACAGGAAGCTCAGTCTTCCCCCCGCCAGGCTGCAACGAAAGCCTCTAATGCAGATTCCAGGAGCACGTCGGAGTCATTGCCATCTCATGAAGACACAAAACGACGTGACTCCTTTCAGTTTTATCTAAGACTTAGCGGTGGGCCCAAGGCAGCCCTCACAGCGGGTGGTATTGTCTTTTCATGGCAAGTCACTGCTGCAGCTGTCATTTTATGGCTTTCTTTATGGACATCTGACCGATTTGGTCTTTCCGGCTTTGCGTCAGTGACATTGTTTGCTATTTTTGGTTTTGGAGAGGCGCTACTAGCGTATGTCCTGTGCCTCAACATCACCACGAAGATGTTACATGCAAGCCATAGCTTGTGGGAACGATCGGTGAGACGAGTCGTTGCTGCGCCCATGGGTTTCTTCCAAGACTCTCTACTTGGTAGCATCATGGACCGTCTCTCAAAAGATGCGGACACAACGGATAGGGAGTTGATAGAGGCGACTCGAAATGCTACACTTCATCTCGCACGATTGCTTGGTGGCGTTGCCTTGATGCTCGCGATGGAATTCAAGGTATGTCCTGCGGCAACCACAACATGAGTAACAAACACTTACGAGCTTTGACGTAGCTTTTAGTTGTCGTCTTGCCGGGTCTATCTGCAGTCGTTGCTATGATGCGCAGATATGCTCCACGCCTCAAGACTGTCCGCTGTCGGGAGGCTGAACTACGTGCTCGTGTAAATGCTGCATTTAGTGAGAGCGTTGACGGCTCCAGCTCTATTTCAGTCTATCATATCGAATCGTCGGCTCGGTCAACTTTGGTCCAGCGACTTAATAGATGGAGCAACGTTCGACTTCTGGCCGCCGCAAATTTACGCTGGCTTGAAGTCAGACTTGACGCTATTGTGGCTACTACCATTGGACTGACCGGTGCTCTTGTTGTCGCTTCATCCGCTTCGCTATCACCATCTACTGTCGGTCTCATCATGAGTCAGGCTCTCGTTCTTCCGGCTTCTTTGAGACAAGGCATGAGATTTTCTACTAGCGCCTTCCAGTCTATGGTTGCAGTGGAACGTCTGTCGTCTTATGCTACCAGTATACCTCGCGAGGGGGAGACAGAAAGCGGTTCAAGGTATCGCACTGCGTATGACGCATCATGGCCAGCCTCTGGAAACTTGGCCTTCCGGAATGTCAGTGTTTCGCATCGTCAGGAACCCGGCAAAGAAACCCCGACAGCGTTGCGTGATTTATCTTTCAGCATACCGAGCGGTATGCATGTTGCGGTCGTAGGCCCAACTGGTGCAGGGAAATCGACACTCGTTTCTCTCCTGTTGCGCTTGCTTGACCCGTCGACTGGCACCATCAATTTGGACAGCGTCTCCATGATTGGCGTACCACTTCAAACGCTACGCTCCCACATTGCAGCTGTTCCCCATGACGCTGTACTGCTTCCCAATAGCACCGTCCGCGAGATGATTGATCCTAATCACAGCCACTCTCCGTCTGCGATATCTCGACTACTATCGGACTTGGATATGCTGGCTGGGCTAGAGAATGAGCCATCTATGGAGCTTGACACGATAGCTGGTGAGCAGGTAGCCCAAGGAACAGGGAGAGCCCAGCTGTTGGCTTTGGCGGCTGTGTTACTCAATAAACCGCGAGTTTGTGTACTCGACGAGACACTTGGGTGTTTGAACGTTCAGGCAGATGCCAATGTGACGGAGATGGCGAGGGATGTGTTGAAGGGCTGCACGATGGTAGCAGTCACACATCGTATGAGAGTGGCGATGTTATTTGACCGAGTGCTTGTGCTCGACGAGGGTGGAGTACAGGCATACGGCACGCATTCGGATGTTTGGAAAAGCAGTCAATTTTTCAGAGAGGCTTGCAGTCGGGATGGTATCACTGCTGAAGGAACTCATCAAGCTGGAGTGTAGCATAACCTGTTTGATAACATTTTGTTTGAAAGAAATCACTCGTTACAAGAATCCTAAGCGGCAGAGATGGATGCTCGGTGTGGAATTTCGACTCCGGGTCACAACGGGAGGACACTGCCATACTGCGATTGAGTGACCTCCCGCTACAAAGTTCTTGGAGTTAACGCTACACTATCGTACCTTGTCCAAATCAGCTGAAGCAATTTTTCTAATATCGGAATGACTCTGAATCTAAAGTTTACCATCTAATTACGCTGGTTGTCAGCACAGTCTTGCGAGCCGGGAATTTATATCTGAATTTCAGGATCGCTCGAGGTATTATACGTGGAAATAGCAATTCTATTAGATATTCCTCAAAGACTTCCAGGCTTTTAAGCTTATGATTTAAAAGGGCTTCTGTAGAGTTGCACAGTGCCGCTCCTACTACAAGTTGCAAGTAGCTACCATGAAAATAACAGGTAACAGGGTTTGTTTATGCGCTGGAGAATCAGGATATGTGCCGTGATATGGAATTTTTATTCGACAAGAAGAAAATCCAAACATAGCTTGAGCTTGAAAACCTCAGGAAACTTTGCACTACAACTGTTTGGTGATCTGCTGGTACGCCTCTGTTAATGGGCTATTGCTACGTAATGTGCAACGGCTGAAAATCTTGGGGTTTTTTGACAAAGTGTACTCCAGGATTATGATTCTGCTCATCTTAGCCACAGATAAAGTGACTTGCGCCATCTGCAGGATCTCTGGAAAAGCAGACTGTTGCATGTGGAACCCCTGGAAGTCTTTCAGGCCCTTTGTCCTACGATTGCACCGCCCGCGGTGAAGTACAGCAAACAATCCCTCAACAGACAGGCATGTCATGGCAGACGGAAAACCCTCTAACTCGTCACCTGCTGCTTTTCTTTTCAGGCCATGTTCCAGATTGGTAATGAGAAGTCAGACCCTCATCAAAACCTCAGCTGCCAATCTCTAACAGAGACTACACAGACTGGGAGGCTTAAATATCATCATCTAAGTAGACTTCTTTGGCTTCGCTGCCTTGAGGAGGGAGGCAGACTCTTAAGTAATGAAGAAAATTCAAGTAGGCTATGAAGTGCTCCCATTACAGGGAAGCGACAGCAACTTCTCCTCCTAAATATTTTTCTTAGCACGTACTATTAGTATAGGCTACCTTACTACTACTATTTTATTAATAAAGCTAATTTCTAATATTATAATAACTACTATAGCTAAGGCTATAGCGCTAGTGCGCTATATAACGCTACTACTATTACTACCCTCTTAAGCTATATTTAATATAGTTTATCTAATCTAAATAAACCTTAAATATACTTAAACTCCCTTATAATTACTTAATAAGTTAATTTTAAAATTACCCTAAAAGAAATAAGCTTATAGTAATTAAGGATATTTAGATTTATTACTAATTATACTAAATATTAGAGATATACCTTAGATAACTAATTAGTTACTAAAACTATATAGATTAATAATAAATATTACGCTAAATATATATTATAATATAAATACTTAAGGGCTAACTAAAGCTATAGATTTTATACTTAATAAATTAAGTAAAATTAAATAAATTAATAAAAGCTATAATATTATTATTATTACTTTAGTTAATACTATATAGACTATATTATAATAACTTAAGTTTAAGTATATTAAAGCTATAAAATATTATACTAAACTATTATTATCTATAATTAGAGAGAAATACTACTATAGAGTAAACTATAAAGATTATACTTATTTTACTATTAATAATACTACTACTATAGGGGATATTAAGACTTAAGTAGATAGTAATAGAAGCTTTACCCTTAATAAAAGCTTTAAATAGCTTAGCTATATTAAAGCTATTTCTAAAACCTTAAGCTATTTAGTAGCTAATACTATAAGAATACTTAGAGATAATATAAGAACTATAAATAGTTAGAGTAAAATATAACTAAGAGCTAGAAATCTATAACTAGCTAACCTTAATAACCTTTATATTTTTATTTAGTTCTTAGTAAGTTATACCTATAGAGAGCCCCTAATTAAGCTTATATTTATCTATATAAAACTTATATAAGTTAGTAAAGTTTAGGATTTAGATATTAGAGTAATAACTTAGGTACCTTTTAGTATTATAATTATTATAATATCCTAAAGAGTATATATAACTATATTTACTTATTATACTAAGTTATCTAAATATTTTAATATAGTAAGTATTAAGAGACCTAAGGTTTAAGCTATATATACTCTATAAGAAGTTAAAGCTATAATTAGAAACTATAAAAGTATAATACTATTTAAACCTTACGTTTAAGCTAAGATTAAATATACTACTAAGCACCTATTTATTAAATCTTAAACTTTTATAGTACTATTAACTAGAAGTAAAAAGTAATATATATAAATAGTTACTTTTTACTAAAAAGTTAACACTTTCTAAGTTTTTAGCTTATACTATACTAAGTACCTTAACTATAAACTATTACTTAAATAATACTAAGTATACTATAAGTAGTATAAATTTAGGGAATATACCTATACGTTATGCTACTAATATTATAATAAGTAGAAATATAGAGCTAACTATATTAATAAAGTATAATATATAACTTATAATAATCTATATAAAGTAATTAATAAAAGCTATCTACTATACTCTTAATAAAAAGATAGGACTATAGTTTAGCTATTATAAAGCTAATACTAATATATTTATAAAGCAGGCTGTTAGTTTAGTATTATAATATCTAAAAATATAATATATAGATAGATAGACCTAAGCTTTTTATAGAGTATATAAAATAAAAGCTATAACCTATCCTCTATAACTTTTAACCTTAATAGGGAGGAGTCTACACTATAAGTAATTAATTCTATAAAGATCCTACTTAAAGATATCCTAAAGGATATCTTAGAAGGAGAGGATATTAATAAAGTAATAAACTTAGGGGAGTTTAAAGATAATTTAAACTTATACTAAGAATAAACTATTAAAGTTATTATTTTAGTATAAATAATTAGATCTTAATTATACTACTATAAATAGAATATACTTTATATTCTAAGTAAATATAGCAAAAATAAAGCTTATATATAATATTACCCTAATATTTACTAACTATTATAAATTTAATATTATATTTATTTAAAAACCTTAATATATAACTAAATAAGACCTTAATCTTATTAAAACTAACTCTATTTATACTTTATATTTACTAGTTTAAACTTAGGACTTAATTACTATATAACTTAGAGTTTTAACTTATATTTATAAGGGGATTACTATACTAGCTTTATTTTTAGTTATATTAAACCCCTAAAAACCTTACTAAGATATCCTTAATATTAAGCTTTAAAAAGTATATTACCTTAATATATACTAAGATATTAATAAATTTCATATCTTCTATATTTTATTAGATTAGCTATTACTATTATACCTCTTTATAAGAGGAAACTTTAATATAAAATATTATATATAGTAGCTAAGAGTAAAGATAAGTAGGGGGGGTACTTTACTAGCTAAACTTATTAAAAGCTAGAATATTACCCTCCTTAATATATTAGAAGTACTAACCTATTAGTATAATAATATACTTAATTTTTATTTCTCTAATATACTATTAGCTAAAACTAAAGTTATTAGCTATTTTT